TAGACTATAGACTAGACTATAGACTAGACTATAGACTAGACTATAGACTAGACTATAGACTAGACTATAGACTAGACTATAGACTAGACTATAGACTAGACTATAGGCTAGACTATAGACTAGACTATAGACTAGACTGTAGACTAGACTATAGACTAGACTATAGACTAGACTATAGACTAGACTATAGACTAGACTATAGACTAGACTATAGACTAGACTATAGACTAGACTATAGACTAGACTATAGACTAGACTATAGACTAGACTATAGACTAGACTATAGACTAGACTATAGACTAGACTATAGACTAGACTATAGACTAGACTATAGACTAGACTATAGACTAGACTATAGACTAGACTATAGACTAGACTATAGACTAGACTATAGACTAGACTATAGACTAGACTATAGACTAGACTATAGACTAGACTATAGACTAGACTATAGACTAGACTATAGACTAGACTATAGACTAGACTATATAGACTATAGACTAGACTATAGACTAGACTATAGACTAGACTATAGACTAGACTATAGACTATACTATAGACTAGACTATAGACTAGACTATAGACTAGACTATAGACTAGACTATACTAGACTATAGACTAGACTATAGACTAGACTATAGACTAGACTATAGACTAGACTATAGACTAGACTATAGACTAGACTATAGACTAGACTATAGACTAGACTATAGACTAGACTATAGACTAGACTATAGACTAGACTATAGACTAGACTATAGACTAGACTATAGACTAGACTATAGACTAGACTATAGACTAGACTATAGACTAGACTATAGACTAGACTATAGACTAGACTATAGACTAGACTATAGACTAGACTATAGACTAGACTATAGACTAGACTATAGACTAGACTATAGACTAGACTATAGACTAGACTATAGACTAGACTATAGACTAGACTATAGACTAGACTATAGACTAGACTATAGACTAGACTATAGACTAGACTATAGACTAGACTATAGACTAGACTATAGACTAGACTATAGACTAGACTATAGACTAGACTATAGACTAGACTATAGACTAGACTATAGACTAGACTATAGACTAGACTATAGACTAGACTATAGACTAGACTATATATGACTATAGACTAGACTAGACTAGACTATAGACTAGACTATAGACTAGACTATAGACTAACTATAGACTAGACTATAGACTAGACTATAGACTAGACTATAGACTAGACTATACTAGACTATAGACTAGACTATAGACTAGACTATAGACTAGGCTATAGACTAGGCTATAGACTAGACTATAGACTAGGCTATAGACTAGGCTATAGACTGGCTATAGACTAGACTATAGACTAGGCTATAGACTAGGCTATAGACTAGACTATAGACTAGGCTATAACTAGACTATAGACTAGGCTATAGACTAGGCTATAGACTAGACTATAGACTAGACTATAGAACTAGACTATAGACTAGACTATAGACTCGTTTGATACAGTGTTCCAAAACGAGTTCAGTTTAATTAAGTATTCAGCAGTATTAGTTTCTAGAGATATTTTGTGATGATCGTTCGGGGGCCAATGATCAAGCGATCATTCTAACTACTTTTTTCCAGAATATACAGCCAAGCCTTAACATCAAAACCTTTATTGTATAATTTCAAATTTATAGTCAGTGTTCAATATTTCGAGACCATTTAATATGGCTTCATGCAGTTACGAAATTCCAGAACCAGATGAAGTACAATGGTCCAATAAATCTATAAAATTCTGTATTGAAAAATCAAGAACTACCCTACTTAACATCACCCTATTACATAGAAATAATGTCCAACACTTCTAGGTTTTTTATGAATCGGGGAAAAAAATAAATTTATACATTTTCTTGCAGCAATTTTCACATCTTGCAAATGTTAAATAATTATCTTAATTATTTAGTAGATTAAAGTTTAACGATCGCTGTCCATCTTTAGTTTTCTACTTTATCCATTAATTGAAGCATTGAGAAATTTCATCTGCTTTTCCTCATTGTAACTGCAAGTACTTACATGTATGTACGTATGTGTGTATGGATGTATGCGAAAGTATCTATAGCTGTACATAATTACAGATTTATGTACACACGTCGTAATTCAATAAAAATTACAAAAGACACAAGCAAAGAAATTACTTGGCAATTATTTTCGTTTACAAGGAAATTTGTTTTTTTATACCCTACACCATCTATCAGTAGAGTTAGAAGCGATACATAAGTTTGTCATTCTGTGCGTAAGATTAAGATTCATCTGAGATTCAAGAAAGTATGAAAGGCAAAATGTCCTTATGAAATTCTGAGTCGATCGGAACTTTTATAAAAAATGCATGTTATTGATGAAGGGTATTAAGATTCGTCTCCGCCGAATAATAACACTCTAACTTGTTATTTCTTTTATCCACCAGAATTGTTAGTTCATTGTCAAAACCACTTGCTGTAGGTATTTGAATTTTTTTTCTCATTTGCTTCTGCGTCTTTTCTTCTACAATTTTATTGTCGTCTGTTGACAACTGTCAATGTGATGTGAGAGAATACCGGCAAATTCAACACAGATAAGTTGTGCAAAAAAAAAAAAAAAGACTGGTAGATAATTTAATGGTCATAAGTTGCTTATTCCTGATAATGATCAATTTATTTGTAATGAAGTAATTTTCAGTTTGTGTGTGCTAATGCTTTGGGTTGTTCAATAGGATGGAGCAAATTTGCAAAGGGAAATATCAGCTGTTTGCCCAAATTCATAAATTGCTTTATAAAAATGAAAAATTTTGACTCTTGTTGAAAGTTTACAAATTCTGGGAAATCTTTATTCTTTTTTTTCAAAGTTCTTCCCCCTACAATTTTGCTGTAGTCTAATACATATATAAGTATTACATAGAAATACCACAGCTATTTAACTTGATAATAACACTGTAACAGCAGATAAATGTCTATAAGATTAGACTGTGATCGAAAACCAATAGTTGGGAAAACTTGTTACCATGTCCGGTGTGTGAATACTACAAGTACAAATAAGTTGTTCTTATAAAAAAAAAGTATTCTCCATAATTGATGAAACGAAAATGTTTCTCATACAAATATGTTTGTGTGAAGATTAAATTGCAAATAATGTTTGATTCCAGTTATTGTCGGTGGGTTAACGTTAAGCGGTCATAAAAAGAAATATATAAATTAATTAGATTGTCTTTACATTCCAGAAATAAGAAAACTGGGAACTGTTTATAAGATTTTTAAAACATCTCGAAAATATTATATACATAATAGTAATTTGTTACAATTTTCTATAATTTCACTAGTTCAGTTCTAGTTCAGTTCTAGTTCAGTTCTAGTTCAGTTCTAGTTCAGTTCTAGTTCAGTTCTAGTTCAGTTCTAGTTCAGTCTCGTTCAGTTCTAGTTCAGTTCTAGTTCAGTTCTAGTTCAGTTCTAGTTCAGTTCTAGTTCAGTTCTAGTTCAGTTCTAGTTCAGTTCTAATCAGTTCTAGTTCAGTTCTAGTTCAGTTCTAGTTCAGTTCTAGTTCAGTTCTAGTTCAGTTTCTAGTTCAGTTCTAGTTCAGTTCTAGTTCAGTTCTAGTTCAGTTCTAGTTCATTCTAGTTCAGTTCTAGTTCAGTTCTAGTCAGTTCTAGTTCAGTTCTAGTTCAGTTCTAGTTCAGTTCTAGTTCAGTTCTAGTTCAGTCTAGTTCAGTTCTAGTTCAGTTCTAGTTCAGTTCTAGTTCAGTTCTAGTTCAGTTCTAGTTCAGTTCTAGTTCAGTTCTAGTTCAGTTCTAGTTCAGTTCTAGTTCAGTTCTAGTTCAGTTCTAGTTCAGTTCTAGTTCAGTTCTAGTTCAGTTCTAGTTCAGTTTCTAGTTCAGTTCTAGTTCAGTTCTAGTTCAGTTCTAGTTCAGTTCTAGTTCAGTTCTAGTTCAGTTCTAGTTCAGTTCTAGTTCAGTTCTAGTTCAGTTCTAGTTCAGTTCTAGTTCAGTTCTAGTTCAGTTTCTAGTTCAGTTCTAGTTCAGTTCTAGTTCAGTTCTAGTTCAGTTCTAGTTCGTTCTAGTTCAGTTCTAGTTCAGGTCTAGTTCAGTCTAGTTCAGTTCGAGTTCAGTTCTAGTTTCAGTTCTAGTTCGTTCTAGTTCAGTTCAGTTCAGTTCAGTTCTAGTTCAGTCTAGTTCAGTTCTAGTTCAGTTCTAGTTCAGTTCTAGTTCAGTTCTAGTTCAGTTCTAGTTCAGTTCTAGTTCAGTTCTAGTTCAGTTCTAGTTCAGTTCTAGTTCAGTTTTAGTTCAGTTCTAGTTCAGTTCTAGTTCAGTTCTAGTTCAGTTCTAGTTCAGTTCTAGTTCAGTTCTAGTTCAGTTCTAGTTCAGTTCATTTCTAGTTCAGTTCTAGTTCAGTTCTAGTTCAGTTCTAGTTCAGTTCTAGTTCAGTTCTAGTTTTTTTTGCAAAAAAACCTATTTTTAGTGAAAAATCAAATTTTATATGAAAATTCGAATTTTATATGAAAAATCGAATTTTAAGTGAAAAATCGAATTTTTTAGTGAAAAATCGAATTTTGGTGAAAATCTAATTTTTAGTGAAAAAATCTAATTTTTAATGAAAAATCGAAACTTTTAGTGAAAATCGAATTTTTAGTGAAAAATCGAATTTTTAGTGAAAAATCTAATTTTTAATTAAAATCTAATTTTTAATTAAAAATCGAATTTTTAGTGAAAAATCGAATATTTAGTGAAAATTTTAATTTCTTGTTAAAAATCGTAGTTGTAGTTAAAAAGTCGAACTTTTAGTAAAAATATAAATTTTGATGAAAAATTTAAATTTGTTGAAAATTTAATTTTTACGGAATTTAATTTTGATTGCTTCGAATATTTTATTCTGACAAATATTTGATTATTTTTTACTTAATTTTTTTTAATAAAATTAACATTGAAACCAATTGGCTCTTATAACAAAATTCGGTGTCTTTATGAATTTTAAAATATTTTTACTTACTTGGCCTTTTTGTTGTTCCTGTATATAACGTTCTCTCGCCTGTTGTACAGCCTTTTCATTACCAACATCCAAATATTTTTGTTCGGTTAAAACTCCAGGTGCATCATTCATGCATTGAAAGTTCATTGCGATAAGGTTCATCATCAATGTAATCGTCCTGGATAAAGTAACACAAAAATAAAAGAAATTATTAAAAATAAACAAAAAATAAAAAACATTACAAACTTTCCTTAAACTAAAATCATTCATTTAAATTATTTATCAACTTTCGACATGTCTAATCATATTATTTATTATACTCTCTCTTTCTACTTTAAATATATCATAAAAGATTTTCATAAGCTTTAGTTATTTTTAATAAAATTATAAATAATGAATGGTAGTAACAATTTAAAATATCCAACTATTACTAACTTGTATTAAATCTTGTTATATACATACATACATACATAGTATACTATAGTAGTAGTAGTAGTTATGTCTATTTTGTTTACTACTTTTACTTAGTTTTCTTAATTTCTTCATTTATTTTACTTACAATTAAATGAAAATTAAAGTTCTCTTTAGTTTCTCTGCTTAGAAGAAGAAGAAGATGAAAAACAAAAACTAGGACAATTGCCAGTGTTTGCTCAGAGAGAAATTTATGAAACCTAAATTAATTATTCCTTCTTTTCATTTTTATAATTGCAAAACACAATACCCCCCAGCTCGTAACTATTATTTTATTACAAACGTTGAGACGACCGACAACTGTTACCATGAACGTTTTAGTGGGGAAATGCAATTTAGTAAAAAAAAAATATAGGCGGGGAAACTGAAAAGGTTATAGAAATGCTTGTTTTATTCATTATTGAATACCAGATCAAGGGAATTTTGTAAAAGTTAATTTGGGTCCTATTAATAAAAGGTAGAAGATAGGCAGAGAAAGAACAGATAACATCTTGAATATCCGAGAAATTTATAGTCCTGAAAAGAAAAGATCATGATCCTTATATAAAATCTTACCGTCTGTATGTTAAAGAAACACTGAAGGAGAAACGTCCTCAAGAGTCAACTCTTTAACGTTTAGAGTAAACATTTTGCAACGAAAGCATTTTGCTCCGAAAGTCAAGACTGAGCGTTTAAATTACCCTGTCTAAGGGAAATTGGTGACCTGACCTTCTTGGACTATTCGAATTTTATCGTCTCGTAATACCTACATCACAGGAGCTCCGACTTCATTACCAATTACCAAGGGAAATCGTGATCTTCGTGGACTATTCTTTAATGTTTACCAATCATACGATATATGACGTCAGATAGCCTGATCGTGGAAGTTTAAAAGAGAAACTGAGTCAGTGGTTTCCTCACCGTATCTATTCGCGATCGAGTCTAGTCGTTTTGTAATCAAATTTAAGACAATCGTTTCGGCATACACTTAATCAACACTCGTACGTCGTATGAACTTCGGATGGAACCGAGTAGTTGTTTCCTCATGGTGCGTAAGGAAAATTATCAATTTTGCGGCCCTCTCTTTAACGTTTCGTGATCAATTTTGAAAAGATCAGTATGCGAATCAACTCCAGATAAGTTGGCTACATCAAAGTTGTTCCTTAAAGAGTTCAGAAAAATACGAAACAGTCATTACACTTCGTCTGTAAGATAGCTTGAAACTTGGATCCGCATTGGAATCAAGAGGTTAGTCTAAAGAAGAATGAATGAAAGCTTTTGTAAGTGTTGTCAATTTGGGGAACGTCTAAGCTACATGAAAGAGTATAGCTTAAACCGAAAGAGTCGATACTCTATCGTGATCAAGTTTTGAAACTTTCGCTGTACTTAACTCGGAACTTTCTTTATGTGTTAAAGATCTAATGAAATTCAGACTTCAATGCCATAAAAGAGTCCAGATGAACGCGAAACAGTCAATTACACTTCGTCTGTAAGATTTAGAACTTTCAGAAGCTTTAATTTACCGTATATTGCTTTGAAACTTGGATCCCCCATTGAATCAAGAGCTTTCAATCGAAATAACAATGTATTAAAGCTTTTGTAAGTGTTGCCATAAGGGAAAGTCTAAGATACGTAAAAGAGTTTAGATGAAAACAAAAGAGTTGATACTCTATCGTGATCAAGTTTGAAACTTTCGCTGTCCTTAACTCTGAACTTTCTGTATATGTTGAGGACCTCAGTGTAATAAAAGAGTCTAGAAGAACACGAAAGTTAATTACACTTCGTTTTGTAAGATTTAGAACTTTCAAAAGCTTCAATTAGCCGAATATTGCTTTGAAACTTGTATCCGCATTGAATCAACAGCTTCAATCGAAATAACAATGGATTCAAGCTTTTGTAAGTGTTGTCAATTAGGGAACGTCTAAGATATATGAAAGAGTGTAGATGAAACCAAAAGAGTCGATACTCTATCGTTAACAAGATTTGAAACTTTCGCTGTCTTTAACTCGGAACTTTCTTAGTGTGTTCAGGATCTAATGGAGAGAGGACCTCAAAGTTTATAGCAACAGATATGACTCTTTGTTGGATGAATGATTTCGATTCCCAAAAGACATCTTCGTTGTGATAGGAAATGCGAAGGACTACTTATCGTTCGCTTGAACTTGGACTTTCGAAGTCTTGAATTCTTCAAATCGGGACATACGTTTGCACCATTAGAAACAGTAGTTTATAATTTGTCCCTTTTTTAGCTAACTTCCTCTCTTGGCCCTCGTACCTTTATTGTATATGAATACAGTGGACGTCCAATAGTACGTATACTCTTTATTACGAATATCCAATAATACGAATGGCAAAATTGTTGCATTGTCTACTCTATAGTACGAATAAGTCACAATTTTTCTGTTCGATAGTACGAATAACCGCATTTTTTATGGGAATTTTGGTTTTATTTACGTATGAATGAAGTTTTATTTTTTATTTCGGTATCATTCACCTTAAGCTCAGTAATTTTGAAGTTTTTTTGTATTTATTACAAGTGTTTTGTATTTTTAAAAATCCTATACACACAATTTACTGCATGTATATTTACAAGTCAACAATTATTTAGTATTATTAATTTATTTTATTGGAATTTTGATGACCCAAGAGAAGAAATTAAATTGGATGATAACGACAATGAGGAAAGTATTTTATTAGTTCCCGACAATAACTCTGCTGAGAACAATATAAGCCTCAAAAGCGCTGTTATTGAAAAAGCCGTAGAATCATTTTACAATGTAATAAACATCGATGTTAAATGATGGATTTTTAATAAGTAAAATGATATTATATACATATGTATGTATGAACTGTTAATTTTGAAAGTAGTGTGACTCCACATTCAAACAATGGGTTTAAGGATAACTATTCCAATTTTTAAGAGAAAATTATAAGTTAGAGAATTGTGGTATATTCCATTCAAGTTTCTAATAAAAGTTTTATGTAATCTGAACATTTAATACATTTTAGAACACATATGTAAATTGCAAATTGTCTTTGGCACACATCTTTTAAAAACATTAAAATTAAAACCTTCTACATATATCTCATTTCAACCATTGGACTCACGATACTTTCAAAATTAACAATTCATATACGTAAATATGTCCCTTTAATGCCTGTTTATGTACAAGAAATTTATTTAAATAATACACATTTATTATATTTGTTCCGTTATGTAATTTTTTCATGAAAAATAAAACAAAATAAATAAAATCCAATATTTTATGTGTATTATTTGAATTTAAACATACAAAATGTGTTGTTCAATAATACGAATTTTTCGGTATTACGAAAGGGCCTGACACTATATAATTCGTACTAGTGGACGTCCACTGTATTTCCTTAATTTAATACTTGGCTACAGAAGCATAAAAAAGTTGGAATTTTTTGTTCTTCTCGTTTTTGTTTTGTTTTTTTGCTAAAATGTCACATTGCTTTAAGCTGCCGCTATTCGCATGCACTTCCGGCAAGAAAATTCACGTAAAAATAATCATAAAAAAAGAGTTTTTATTCTAATTTTATCAAGGATAAAACTTTCCTGTACTAACAAAAAAATATAAATAAAGGAATAAAAATAATTAAAGAAAAAGTGAGTCAAGTAAAAAATTGTATTAAATTACTGGCTTCCTTTAAAATAAAAGAAACGTTTACAAAAAAAAATAAGAAAAAACAACAAATTTTATTGTTATAAATGTTTATTAAATTTTATTTTAATTCTAATAATAACTAACAGCTATAATATATGGTTATTATGTAAATTATATGCAAAAAAAAAACATTTTACAAATTTGTTAAAATATCTAATTGAAATTCTAATAGATTATTGTTTGCTTGTTTATGGTTCAACACCTACTACCGATTTCTTAACTGACTTTTTGCTTCTTTTACAACCAAAGTTGTAAAAACAATTATTATTAACTATTTTCAATAAACTGCGCCTAAAAACGCCTTCTCGCTTCAACCATATATGTGTATGTATGTTTTTCAAGTATTTACGAGTATTTAGAATAAAATTATTTCAATATGTTAAAAAAAAAAGAAAAGAACACAAAGTTTGTAAATCTAAATCAATCACTGTCGAATACATGCATATAGTACGCTGTCTTTTTATGCAATTGCGGGTCCAAGTTCAAATTTAAGACCTAGATTTGTTAAGGCATAAGCTTAATTGCAAAGAAATAGCGCTGTTTTAAGCCCAGTGGAAAATTAAGAGGACTTTTAAAGCTAAAAAACATTTTCACAAATTTTTCGAAATCGAGATCTAAAATTTGCCACTATGCTAATCTAAAGTATAATCTAGTCTAAAGTCAAATTTGAAGTATATGGTGCTGTCTATACTCTAATCTATAGTGTAGTCTGTAATCTGTTCTAGTTTATAGTCTAGTCTAGTCTATAATCTTGTCTTTAGCATAGTCTATAATCTAGTCTATAGCATGGTCTAAAGTCTAGCTTATAGTGCAGATTAAAGTCTAGCTATTAGTCTAGTCTATAGTATAGTCTATCCTCTATTCAAATCTATAGCATAGTCTATAATTTAGTGAATAGTCTAGTCTATAACTTAGTCTATAGTCTAGTCTATAGTCTAGTCTATAGTCTAGTCTATAGTCTAGTCTATAGTCTAGTCTATAGTCTAGTCTATAGTCTAGTCTATAGTCTAGTCTATAGTCTAGTCTATAGTCTAGTCTA